AGACAACAAGGTGCAGGGCTGGATGAACACAGCAGGCCAAGCAGCATCATAGGAGCAGAGAGGCTGACGTTTCGGGCCTAGACCCTTCATCAGAAAAGGGGGAGGGGAAGGGGGTTTTGAAATAAATAGGGAGAGAGTGGGAGGCGGATAGAAGAGGGATAGAGGAGAGGATAGGTGGAGAGGAAACAAACAGGTCGAAGAGGCGGGGATGGAGCCAGGAAAGGTGAGTGTAGGTAGGGAGTTAGGAAGGGGATAGGTCAGTCCAGGGAGGACGGACAGGTCAAGGGGGCGGGATGAGGTTGGTCGGTAGGAGATGGAGGTGCGGCTTGAGGTGGGAGGAGGGGATAGGTGGGAGGAAGAACAGGTTAGGGAGGCAGGGATGAGCTGGACTGGTTTTGGGATGCGGTGGGGGGAGGGGAGATTTTGAAACTTGTGAAATCCACATTGATACCATTGGGCTGCAGGGTTCCCAAGCGGAATATGAGTTGCTGTTCCTGCAACCTTCGGGTGGCATCGTTGTGGCAGTGCAGGAGGCCCAGGATGGACATGTCGTCTGAGGAATGGGAGGGGGAGTTAAAATGGTTCGCGACTGGGAGGTGCAGTTGTTTGTTGCGAACCGAGGTGCAGTTGTTTGTTCAACTCATATTCCGCTTGGGAACCCTGCAGCCCAATGGTATCAATGTGGATTTCACAAGTTTCAAAATCTCCCCTCCCCCCACTGCATCCCAAAACCAGTCCAGCTCGTCCCTGCCTCCCTAACCTGTTCTTCCTCCCACCTATCCCCTCCTCCCACCTCAAGCCGCACCTCCATCTCCTACCGACCAACCTCATCCTGCCCCCTTGACCTGTCCGTCCTCCCTGGACTGACCTATCCCCTTCCTAACTCCCTACCTACACTCACCTTTCCTGGCTCCATCCCCGCCTCTTCGACCTGTTTGTTTCCTCTCCACCTATCCTCTCCTCTATCCCTCTTCTATCCGCCACCCACTCTCTCCCTATTTATTTCAAAACCCCCTTCCCCTCCCCCTTTTCTGATGAAGGGTCTAGGCCCGAAACGTCAGCCTCTCTGCTCCTATGATGCTGCTTGGCCTGCTGTGTTCATCCAGCCCTGCACCTTGTTAACTTGGATGGAATTTTGTTTTTGAGAAGATAACAAATTAAATGACAGTAACACATTTGATGGATTCTGTATGGATTTTAACGCAGATTGATAAGGTTCTTGATGGCAGTGTGGTCAGGAAAGAAAAAGCTGATGAGATTCAAAGACAAGTGCTAAGTGGTGAGTCAGATCCAAAATTGGCTCAGAGACAGGAAGCAGGGTCATGTTTATCGGGGATTTTGATGTCCAGATGGATGATGCTTCCAGTGAGGTTCTGTAGGTCTTAGCACTGGCTCCTTTGCTGTTTGTGGTATACATCGATGGTTTATACATAAATGTAGGGCTCTGATTAAGCAGTTGGCAGATGATAGTGGTTAATAGTGAGGAAGAAAGACCACAGGAAACAAACAAGACTGCTGGGTGAATAGGGTGGTGGCAAATGGAATTCAATTGAGAGAAGCATGAGGTAGTGCCTGTAGGGAAGGCAAACAAGGCAATGGAATATACTGGAATAAACAGAGAGGGGTAAGGGAACAGAGGGACCTTGAATTTTAAGTCTGCTAATTCCCTGAAGATGTATGAACAGTGCAAAAACTTAGACACAAAGGCATCCAGAATACTTGCTTTTAGTAGCTGAGGCATGGAATATAAAAGCAGTGTAGTTATGCTGGAACTGTAAACATTCTAGTTAGACCACAGTTAGAGCATGTGTATGGTTCTGGTCATTGCTTTAGGCACCCAGAGTTCAGCTTGTGATTGAATACTATGTGCTTAACTCCAGCAATTTAGTGCAGGAAGGACCAAGGGAGAGAGTCAGAGACAGTGGGACCCGAGGGCCGAGGGAGAGAGTCAGAGACAGTGGGACCCGAGGGCCGAGGGAGAGAGTCAGAGACAGTGGGACCCAAGAATTGAAGTTTGGAAGCTGGTGATTGATGACTTTTATGTCATTTTCCTCTTCCTAAACTGGAGCTGTTATTTAAACTGGTTTTGGCAAGATCCAAGTATTAAATATATGATTTAACTAGTTAACTTCATAACATAACTAACAGATCATCAAAGATAAGTTTGTTATGGGCATTGCTGGAATCCCTAATTGCCCTTAACTGCCAGGCCATTTGAGAGGGCAGCTAAAAGTTAATCACATGCTAGGGTCTGGAGTCACATGGTGATTCGGCTGGTTTTTAAGCATATTCAAAGGTGAGATAGGTTTTTAATCACTGAATTTGTGGATTAAGAGATCAACCATGATCTAATTGAATGGCAGAACAGACCCGATGGGCTGAAGGGGCAACAGCTGTTACCATATGTTATAGTCTGAATTCCTCCCTTAATGGACATTAATAACTATGGCACATAGAGGAATAGATTAGACTATTGTTAAAGGCAAAAGGGAAATGGTGGACCATGGGTGGGAACTGGGGAGGGCAGATACCAACACGACAGTGTGTCATCTCTATGCAACATTTCAAAAGAGCAGTGAAGAGAAACTCCTCATGCTGCAGTGTGAGTCAACACATTAAAAGATGGCGGCATTCCTCCAGACTGGAACTGATGTGAAAAGGAGGTTAGTATTCTCATCTTTTCCCATTGCTGACCCTTCCCATCTTACCCTTTGTCTCTGCCTTCGTCTCCTTATCGTCTGGCTCCCCATCAGCGGTTGACTTTTTGTCATCTTTCTACAGGAGGAAGAAACAAATAAAGCTCCTCAATCTTCACTGAATCATACAAAACGTCACGATTCCAGCCACAGGCAAGGCAGTAAGAGCCAGCGGCGACACCATCCACCAATCGGGCAACAGAATGAGGGCATCAGCAGTAAACAGCAACTCTCTCCACCAATCAGGAAAGAGAATGAGGGCAAAAGTAGCCAGAGGCAACACCCTTCGCCAGTCAGCCAAGAGGAGACAGGTATCAGTTATGAACGCCCAATTCCAACTATCTACTTTGAAGAAAGCAAGGGGAACTGTTGTCAAGCATCTCCACCAGTCAGCTATCACCAACAGAGCAGATCTAGCCATCAGCTAATGTCTCCACCAAATAGCCACCACCAACAGAAAACCACTAGTCATTTGCAAAAGTCTCCACCAATCAGTGATCACCGTCATAGCAGCGATAGCTATCAGCAAACGTCCTCACCAATCAATGATCACCATGACAGCAGTCACAGTGGTCAGCAAAGGTTTCAACCAATCCACAATTACCATCAGGTCAGTGAAACCAATCAGCAAATGTCTCCACTAGTCCATCAGTACCATCAGAGTGAACTTAGTGATTGGCAAGAATTTCCACCAATCAGTGCTCGGCGTCAGCACAGCACGAGCCGACAGCAACAATCTCCACCAATCAGTGATCGGCATCAGAGCAGTGTTAGCCGACAGCAACAATCTCCACCAATCAGTGATCGGCATCAGAGCAGTGTTAGCCGACGGCAACCATCTCCACCAATCAGTGATCGGCATCAGAGCACTGTTAGCCGACGGCAACCATCTCCACCAATCAGTGATCGGCATCAGAGCAGTGTTAGCCGACGGCAACCATCTCCACCAATCAGTGATCGGCATCAGAGCGCTGTTAGCCGACGGCAACCATCTCCACCAATCAGTGATCGGCATCAGAGCAGTGTTAGCCAACGGCAACCATCTCCACCAATCAGTGATCGGCATCAGAGCACTGTTAGCCAACGGCAACCATCTCCACCAATCAGTGATCAGCATCAGAGGAGTGTTAGCCGACAGCAACCATCTCCACCAATCAGTGATCGGCATCAGAGCACTGTTAGCCAACGGCAACCATCTCCACCAATCAGTGATCGGCATCAGAGGAGTGTTAGCCAACAGCAACCATCCTCACCAATCAACCAGCATGGGTCACGCCAGGTTAGTTGGTGGCAATGGGTTCACAGCAGCAAGGATCAAAGTAAGAACCATGACTCCTCTAAGTACACAGTTACAGAGATCAGTAAACCAGAGAACCAAGATGTACCCATCAAAATCAAGCTCCATCGCCCAAAATACTCGAGCCGAGCATCCATCCGCACTTGGCCACAGCCAACAGGAAACACCAGCAAGGCACTGCCACCGATCAGAATCTCAGTACATCGCCTTGTCTCCCCAACAGAGTCCGAAAACTCCAAGTAACCCCAGCACAGTCAAACCAACCAGATCCACTGGGTGCACAGAACAAGTTGTGGACATTGATTCTTCAGTAAAAGAGAATCGAAGAAACTAAATTCTTTTCTCTTGTTATTACACAGACATTGTTAGACAAAACCGTCTGACCAAGAGCACACCACCTGCTCCGTCATTGTTGCAAATTGTGGTCAATCTCTGCGCCTTGGCAATGCCCTTGGCTGCTGGGTACCCACCAATCTCAGTCCGAACATTTCCCACTGATCTCCAGCCTCAGCATCCTGCTGAGGGGAAAAGCATTGCAGACTTGCAGTACCCATCAATGTCAGCAATGCTTCCTGAGATCAGCCTTGGACTGCTTAATTGCCCCCTTGTTTTAGACATCTATCTTCCCTCCCCTCCCCTCCCCGCCCCATCACCACCACAAAACGTCATTTCTCTTCATCTCTCCGTATTTAATCATCTCAAACAGATCAATTAGAGTGCCTTTAACATTTGGCACTTGAAAAAAACTAAACACTTGCACATGCGTGTAAGGTGCCACAGGACACCCTGAACTTCCCTACTGTTAGTGAAGAGCATTTGGAGTGCAGTCACAGTTGGAATGTGGGAGACATGGCTGCTGCCATGAGCACAGCAAGATCCCACAAACACTGGATGTGCTGGTGACCAGACAATTTACTTTCACAATGCCAGTTGAAGGATGACCAATGTCCAAGACACTGGGGACTAACTCCTTACTCTCGTTCCATTGAAATAATGTGGAATGTTTTGTGTCCACCTCAAGGGGGAGATGAAACCACAATCTAATGCTTCATTTTACTGATGGCATTTCTGACAGCGCAGCATGCCTTCCACACAGACTTGGAGTATCAGCCTTAGTTTCTGTGTTAGAGCCTCAGGAATGGGATTTGAACCCACAACCTGCTGGTTCAGATGTGAGTCCTGACAGACACTAACAGGAGTGTCCAAGGGAACTTGAGCCTTCTTTATATGACTGGTCTTCACAATGAACCCTTTTTGAACAGTGCTGTGTTCCCCCAAAGGTGAATATTTCATCACTTTGGTGAGATGTTCAAAACCTTTACATTCTTAGATGGGATGTGGGCATCACTGGCCAGGCCAGCATTTGATGTCCATCCCTAATTGCCCTGGAACTGATTGGCTGTCTAGGCCATTTCAGTACGAGAATCAAGTTGGGTCTGGAGTCACGTGCAGATTAGACCAGAAAAGGGAATCAAGAATTTCTTCCTCAAAGGGGCATTAGAGAATCAGGTGAATTTTTACAACAATTGACAGTGCCATCATGATCATTTACATCATTATATTCATGTTGGACGGCAACTTTACCATCTCCCATGGTGGGATTCAAATCTGTGTCCCCAGAACATTAGCCTGGTTTAACCAGCGCTGTATCACCATTATCTCCCCACTGAAGACAACATTTTAAATGAGGTGTAACCGAACCTCCGTACATCTGTAAAATAACTTCCAGCTCTTTGTTTTCCAACAGTATTGAGTTGATGGCAACATTCCATGAGACTTTTTAACAATGCTTCTTGTACCTGTGCATTGGTCTCTGGAGTCTTCGGTACTTGGGCCTTAATAATTGCAGCATTTCCCAGCTCCTAGTTTCTCACCACCGAGAAAATGGCCTCATCGATTTTGCATATATCCAAATCAAATGCACTCACCGGTTCCTCACACACTCAAAAACAACACATTTACATTCATGTCCATTGAGAGAAACGTACGGGATAGTGCAAACAGAAAAGTCTCAGTAATACTTGTGAGAAAGAGAGAGAGGGACGTACCTTATCCAGACAATCTGATCTCCTGGTCCTTTTCATAATCTGTTCCAGGCGCTGCAGACAAAGGTGAAGGAAATAGACTGGATGAAATAGCTAAAGAAGATGGAATGATCAGCCCTTCAGCCTTTAATCTGGGAAGGGGGGAGGGGGGAAAAGAGGCCCCAGGACAGGGTGGGAGGAGGGGTGTAGCCTAACAGCCCAATAACCAGGTGGTTTGAAAGGGAATCTCTGCTTGGGTCAGAGCCTGCGGGG